ATAAATAAATATGTATGTGTGTGTGTATGATGCAGGTTAGAAATTGACATACCCAAAACACTTACAGATAAAGTGTTATAGGAGTTCAGAACATAGAAATACTACTACTTCCTGAAGGTGGTATCTGAAAGAAGAGTAAGCTTTGACCAAAGATAGAGAAAATATTCCAGGCAGAGGAACTGTAGGAATAATGGAATTGCTGGATTATGAACTTTGTACATCTTCATCCAAAATAATACTAAATTGTTTTTCCTAGTATACTTGGAGTTTAAGTCTTTTGGTTATTCTACATTCTAGCCAACACTTTATTTAGTCAGTGTTTTAAGTTTTGTCAGTCTACTGGGTGTGGATTTTATTGTGGTTTAAATTTGCATTTTCCTGATTTCTTATGAGTCTGAACAGTTTCTCGTATGTTACTACATTATTCATGTTGTCTCCTGAGAAGTAAGTACTCAAGATTTTTTGTGGGGGGTTGGTCTTTTTCATATTTATAGAACTTTAAAATGTATTTTGGATCCTCATCTTTTGTCATTTACATGTTTAACTGGTATCTTCTCCCAGTTTATGGCTTGTCATTTCACTTTATGTGTCATTCGTTCCAAAGTTCTTAATTTAGTGTGTAATAATTTATCAATCTTTTCCTTCATGGTGTGTGATTTTAATGTCTAAGAAATTCTTCCCTACTCTGAGGTCATAGAGTTATTCTTTCGTATTGTCTTCTAAAAGTTTTACATTTTTGCTTTTCACACCTAAATCTTTAATACACTTAGAATTGATTTTTTTAAATTGAATTTTGTTTTGGGTATTTTTAAGGATCCAATCTCATTTTCCCCTCTATAGATATCCAATTTTTTCGACATTGTTTATTGAAAAGCCCATCTTTTCTTCACTGATCGGTAATACCAGCTCTGTCATAAATCAGATTTCTGTATATGTGGGGTCAGTTTATGGATTCTATATTCTGTTATATAAGTTAATTTGTCTCCTCTGAGTCAATACTTTGAAATAATATTGATATCTGACAGGGTAAATCTCTTTTATCTTTTCCTTCTTCAGGAGTATCTTGGCTATTCTTGGTTTTTGCTAATTGATACAAATTTTAAAATCAACTTGTCAAGTTGAATCTGTTGGGATATTGATTGGGATTGAATCTATAGATCAATTTGGGGGAAATTGACATATTATGATATTTAGTCTTTAAATCCTTGAACATGATATAACTCTCTATTTAGGTCTTACCTGAATATTTCACAGATTTGTCCCTTTTGTATCCCTACGCTCATTACTGGCTCAGATTCTCATTATTTCTAACCCAGACTGTTACATTAGCTTTGAACTGATCTCCCTGTCTTTACTCTCCTTTTTCCAAGAGGCAGCCTAGCATAGTGAGATCAGGAACCAGATTTAGGGGTTTGAATTCTGGTTCTCTCAGGATTGGACAAGTTACTTAACCTCTGTTGCTTTAATTTAAGTAGAAATAATAATAATAGTGCCTACTTCATGATGTTCTTATGACAATTAAATGAGTTAATATATGTAAAATAATTAGGACAGTGTCAGGCAAACAGTAGAGCTCAATAAATGCTTGCTATTATTGCTGTGATTTAAATTCTAGTAGTCTAGCTCCAGAGCCTACCCTCTTCCTATATTCTACTGAAAAGGAAATGAACTCAAGATATATTTTGTAAATAAAAATTCATAGGACTTGTTAATGGACATGAAGATAAGGGAAAAATATCAATCCAGGATGCCTTCAGGGGTTCTCGTTTGAGCATTTTGATAAACTGTTTGCCATCCAAAACAAGGGTGGTTGTAGATGGGGAGGGGAGATAGGCTGGGCAGGTTTGGAGGAAGATCAGGCATTGTTTTGGACCTGGTCCATTTGATATCCCTGGGAGACATCAAAGAGGCAGTGTTAGATAGGTATTTAAATATGGAATCTGAAGTGCAAAATAGAAGTCTGGACCTAATAGATATTTTTGGGAGTCATCAGAACAAGGTGTTATTTAAATGTACGGGAATTAACAAGATCATTTGGGAGTACAGAGGGAGAAGACCTAAAATCAAGTCCTGAGGTTTTATGGAAGATGAAGGATGTCCACAAGGGAGTTGAGGAGGTGTTGCTGGTGAGGTAGAACGAAAATTAGGAGAGGATATTCAGGAGGCCAGAGAGGGGAGTAGCCAGTGTAGGAGTTACAGCTGTACTGAATGCTGCTGAGAGTCAAAGATGAGCCCAGAGAAGTGACCATTGAGTTTGGCACATGGAAGTCATTGGTGGCATGACAAGCACTTCCTAGGGGGAGTGAAAGCCTAACTGTCATGGTTTGAGGAATGAATCAGAAATGAGGAAATGAACGCTCTAAATATATATAGATAATTTTAGTTATGAAAGGTACAAAGGAGTGTAGCAGTAGTTGAAGGGGGATATGGGAAGATTTTTTTTTTTAAGCTGAGAAATACTCAAACACGAATATATGCTAATGGGTACAATTCAATAGGGGGAGATTGATGGTACATGCATTGGGACAATCAGGGAATAAAGTTCTTGTGAACTGAGAATACATGGATTCTAAGTCTGTGGGTAAGGATTAGCCTTTCCTAGGAGGAGGAACTTTGCCTTCATTGTATCAGGAGCAAAAGAGAAGATGTTTTCATGGGTGGATAGGTTTGTACGTCTGGTTGTGAAAGATGCCTAGAAATATTGTGTGAGAGATTTAATTGGTAACATTGTATGTGGCGAGGCAATAGCAAGTAACATGGAAATACTCAGGAGCTCTTCACAGGGGTGGTAGATAGCTAAGTATTCAGTAAAGATTTGATAATAAATGATAGCATTTTCTGGACTATTCATCCACAAGTATAGCCCAATCATGTGTGCTGAGTAGCCGAATTATAAATAAAAGACCCAGATTTTCTACTGTTATTGTAATCATTTATTTAAACAGTATTTATTGAGTACCTACTATGACCAGGCCTTGTTAATACGAGAGTGGCAAGACAAATGAAGTCCTTGTACTATTGGAGCTTGCATTCTTATGGGAGGAGTAGTAAATAGATAGGTAGATAGATAGATAGAAAACATAGATAGTGAACAGAAAGACAGACAAGGAAATTTCAGAAAGAAGTACCATGATGAAAATGTATAGAATCTACTTTAGGGAGAGTGACCAGGAATGTCTCTCTGTAGACATGACAGAATAGCAGAGGCCTGAATGATGAAAACAGAACCAGTCAGGCAGAATTTTGGAAATTTAACTTCTGGACAGAGGAATCAATCCTTGCAAAAGCTTTGAGTCCTTTTAGTGAAATCAGTTCATTGATGCTGTCATTCTATTAGTGTGAGTTGCATAGATAGCTATGTGCAAGTGTGGGAGTGCACCATATTTAGAAATATCTTTGGAGCTCTTAATTATATTTTTCCTCAGGAATGTTTTTAACAGGTGCTGCTTCATGCCAGGCACTGAGTAACAATAAAGAAGCATAAAACTTGGATAAAATTTGTTTACTGTTTCTTCACTGCCTAAAACAGTGCCAGGCACATAAGTGCTCACAAAGTGTTAGATGAATGGATGAATAAATTTGGATTTATACTTGCAATTTCCTAGCTGTGTAACTGGGCAAATTATTTAACATCTCAATTTACTTGATCCTCCATTTCTTCTGGCAAACAAGGATGGGGACACAGTTGCTCCTACCCCACAGTATTCTTATGTAGAGGAGAGCAAGAGTAAGGAGCTACAGTTTGTCAACTAGAACTTTTAGAAAGGGAAAAGAGAGATGGGAAGTGTAATGAAAGATAAGACTGAACAGGTAAGCTGGGTCCAGTTTGGAAGGGCCTAGGGAGTCCTATTGAGGGCTAGACCATGATTTCACTGGGAAGTCACTGAAGCACTGTAAACAGAGTAGTGACATTTTATGTGGATTTACGTTTTTAAAGGTTACTCTGGCTGTAGATTGGAGGATAATGAAAGAAAGCTAGTTTTCCTTGAGAAGAGTTGAAGCTTAGTGAACTGGGTGTCTTCTGCTCTGCATATCCTTAGAAATACAAATTAATTTTCTCATCCATTTGTCTGTCATCTGTCTGTCTGTCTGTCTGTCTGTCTGTCTATCTGCCTATAAGAGAAAGGTAGCAAATAATAGTTCTGCTTTGATTGCATCACCAGGCCCAACTCAGGACGTCTCCAGGGAATATGTTGGCTATTTTAGAAAAAAGGGCCTTCGTCAAAGGTGTAGTCTGAAGGAGGAGGAGGAGAAATTTTCATAAGCCTTGCCACTGTGAGCATAAAGGGGAGAGGGATAGCTAAAGCTTTTACCATTTCATAGGACTGATGTTCTGATACTTTTAGGATTTTCCCAAAAGTCATTAGCAGTAAAAGCATTAATAAACTGAAAAATGTTTGTGTTTGTCTTTCACTGCAGAGAGGAATAGCAGACTAGGGAGATTGTCCAGCTTTGAAGCCAGCTAGGCTTGGTAGTGGGGATAGAATGGGAAAGGCAGAAGAACCCCAAAGGTGGTGAGTGATGCTTGCCAGTGAAGAGGGAGGGAAGTGTAACTGAAAAACAAAAACAAAAACAAATATAAAGGGCTAAGTGTGGTTTCCCTTAGTCACAGGAAAACAAAAACAAAAAATTGTTGTTTTCCCAGATAGGTCCTAATATGATGCTAGACTATCAGATCTTTGAATTCTGAAATGGAAGTTCTACTTTTATATCAGAACTTCCAGATTCCCTGGAATATATTACCCATGGTTGTCATTCATCACCTGAATGAGAAGAGTCAGTGATTTCAGAAATTTAATAAGACAGCCTGGTACTAATGATGCCACAGGTGATGTTTTCAATTAGCAGTGTTTTAATGAGATTTGTAGGCTGGTAAAAGCTAATCCTGTGATGTAGGAAAAAAACTGAGAAAGCAGGCCTATATCTGGCAAGTCTCCTGAGGTAGGGCTTTGCTGATTCAGATTTCTTTGATTAAACTTTTAATATCTTACAAGCTCTCTGGAAGTAAATTTGTATCTGACATTGGTCAGATACTTTTCAGCTTCCAAAATAAGTAAGGCTTGCAGACAGATTTGAAATGAAAAGTTTTTAGTGACTTTCTAAGCTAAAGGAAAATAAAAAGCACATTGCTTATAGAAGAAATTAAGTGGTAATTGGCAAACAATTCAGCAGAGTGGAAACGAGGGAGATTCAAAGATTTGGATGGAAAAAAGAAATCAGTTTCATTTTTTGGTAAACTTTGAGTTGTACATAGTAAATGACAGCAGTTCAAACCTCTAGTCTCTCATAACTGTGATGAAGTATAGTTTATACCTAGAAACACTTGTTAAAGTGCTTAAAGAACAGTAAGCCTGGTATTGAGATCTGGAAAAAAGTTCCAAAATCAGTATTCATAAAGACTGTCAGATGACCAGTATCTGTTTCAAGGGCAGCATCAGCATAAAATCCAGATACAGTGTTTTTGTCTACTGCTCACTTGTGTTTTGATGTCATATTGAACAGTCCATGTTCCAAGTTTGAAGTTGGAGGGGTATACAATTAAGCTACTCAGGGCCAAGTTGTATAAAACACCTACTATAAACATAGTAGGCCCTTTTGAGGTACATAATTTTTACTATGTATTTTTAAATAATCCACTTATGCTTTGTCAGATATTAGTAATGCTGTGAGGATAATGAACCAGAATGTAGGAAAATGACTGATGCTTGTAGAAGAGGTAGAAATTTAGATGACGATGTTATGCTCTGTAAGAGGACCTTATCTACTCCTAGTTTATTGCTATATCTCTGTCACCTAAAATAGGGCCCAGAACATAGTAGGTACTCGAAGACTATTTGATGAATAAGTAAAAAAAAAAAAAAAAAAAAAAAAAGTTTTGAAGGAATTTACTAATTCCATTGTCAAACTGAGTGTTTTCCTTCCAGTCAGTTGTGATGGATATGCACAGACCTGAACAAACTCCCTTACCCTTAGTAGTAATGTTTCAAGATGGCTCACTGGGGACCTCTGTAAAATCAGGTCTTGGTACAGAAAGGTGGTCATTCTGGATGACAGAGATCAAACCCTTTACTTTGGTTTAGACTCAGCACTAAGTAGTTAAGCTCACCAATCTCTCCACCGCCAGTTCAGGCTTAGCTGGCTCGGGATATGGCCTGAAAAGGAGTTGTAAAAGCTCCCCAAGTGATTCTTAATATGCATCCAAGATTGAGAGCTACTGTATTCATATACCTTTCATACAGACCTGACTCCTTTAATTTAGTAATGCAATCTACAAGTACAGCAGAAGATGACTCGAAAGCTATCTTATTTCTAAATATTTTCTGACTTAAAAAGCAGGATTTGGATTGCAGTATGAATATGTTGGCTGTTAGATTTAGCAGCATTCCTTGTTGCTTTGCAGTGGAGAGTTATTTGCTGTGTGAGTTTACAAATGAAAGAGCCAAAAGTGACGCAGTAAGGATGAGTTGGGGGAAAAGCCATTTCTCTATTGAGTACAGTTTGTTTACTCTTTGTGTGAGTCTCTGTATTTAATTGTCTGTTAAAGTGGATAATATCCCATTCTTAAGTAGCTGAATTATAGTCTGATATGAAAGACTTGCCTTTTATTGTTAGTTTTTTGAGTACTGATAAAGGGTCTGTAAATAAACTTGATTTAATTTAGTGCAGAGTTCTAAGGGAAAGACTAGAGCAGTGTTTTTCAAACCTCAAGTTGTCAACTTTTTGAGAAATGAAATCAAATGGAGAATACCAAAATTAATGTAAGTATTGTTTTGTGAAACTTAGTTCTGTAGACACACAAGTATCTATATATGTGTACTGAGTCTTAATATAAAAGTGACTGCATGTGAATGGTATTCAAAGAAGTTTGAAAGCCATAGGACTAGAGCATGTGAGAAGATGGAGGAAAAGAGGCAGTTGTCCTGTCAGTCCCTTAATGGAGCCAAACCTGATTATTAAATACATTTATTTTCTTTATTTTTCTCTCAAACGGTTTGTATGTTTATGTTTATTCTTTACTCAGTTGCTTATTTTTTGAATCTAGACATATTGTTCAAAATCTTTACTATTTCTTTACCTGGAGAGTGAAAATAAGATAAGTATATTTTATTAGCAGTGTAGTTCTTATAGCATCACTTTGTTGTTTTAAAAGGTATCAGTAAAGCAGAGTTGTCATACTGTTCTTTTCTGACACGTTATGTGCTTTGTTGTTTATTTTTCCTTGTATACCACACAGTGGCTTTTGAGATATACCTTTGTGTGTGTGAGGGTTGTTTGTTTTTTTTTTAATAGAGCTATCCTAAGTAAGGAAGATTTAATGTCTTCCTTTACATAATCACTACTACTACTAAGTTTTATTGTAAAGAATTCTTTAGAAACATTAAAACAGGTATCTATTCCTTTATCTTATTGCTTAACTACCCCCAGAATGTAGTGGCTTATAAACCATGGTTTATGACTTCTCATGAATCTGTGGGTTGATTGTGCAGATCTTTTTCATGTGAGGCTGCAGAGATCTGGAGGCCTAGGCTGGAATATCACATGTCTAATGCCAGGCTCTGCTGGAACACTGGGATAGGTGATTTTGTCCCCTCTCCCCCTCCCACCCCTCCTCCTTCACCACACCCCCTCCCCCAGCCTCAAGGCCTCTCTCTCTTCATATAGCCACTCCATGTGATCTCTCCAGCAAGGTAGCCAGACTTCTTACCTGACAGTTCAGGCTTCCCCAAAACACAAAAGTGAAAGCTGACAGCCTTTCTTAAAGAGTAGTCCCCAGGTCAGAACTGGCACACTGCTATTTCCTACACATTGTCTTTGTTAGAACAAGTTACTAGCTCAGATTCAAGGTGGAAGGAAAGCCACATAAGGGTGTGAATACCAGGAGAATATGCATTATCAGAGACCATTTTGGGAGATTAGTTATCAAAGGGACATTTAGCAGCCTAGTTATGAAATCTCATGAAGTTTTTCTGATATATAAAACTTAAGGCTACATTTGGATTGTCTAGATTTTATTTATTTTCCTTTTCTCCACAACTTCTGTTTCAACAGTTGCCCTGTTACAATTAGATAGGAACTGTCTAGCAACTGTTTACCTACAAGTGAGGCATAAACAGGAAAAAACTTAGTAAATTGTAAATTGGTTAGAAAAAAGTGAGTACTGAATGGGGAATAGATGATGTCATAAACTTTGTGTTAGAAAAATTACTAAGAACTAAAAAGATATACAATTTATTGACCACTGCTGAAACAGAGAAAGCCAAAGGAAAGAAAAAGATAGGAAAGAATGAATAGAAATTATTTTATTTTAAAAATTGTTATGTAGGTTTTTTTGGGGGGGAGATACATGGTTTTCAGTGCTTAGAATAACATCTCTGGCACTAGTAGATACTCAAAAAATATTTGAATGAATGAGTGGATTTCTTTTTAAAAAATGAGTTAATATTTCAGGAAACTTGTATTCTACTTGCTGGCTAGTTTTTACATAATTTAGAAGAGTGTATTCTGGGGGCGTAACTCATTAGAATCATCTTTGTCCAAGAGAAAGTGTAGACTTTCTCTGGGAACTGAAAACCTTTTTATGTCTTTAATCGAGAATATAATTTTAACAAATCGTCTGTGTCAGAAAAAACTATGCTGCTGAGTCTTTGGCTTTGGTATATAGAAGGTTTAGCATGCCTGGATGTTATCTATGCCTTTATTATGATTTGTCTAGTCCTTGTTTTGTCATGGCAAATACACAAAAGTAGAAATGAAATTAAAAAAATATATATAGACATGTTCATAAGCCAGTTGGTCTAGCCAGTATATAGGCTTTTACGGTATCATTTGGTTGCTGCTTTCTATGGCAGATGCTATAGAAGAAGATGCTTTGGATTATAACAGCAGTGAACGAGTGAGTGATGTTTCCTGTCTACCAGAGGGCACTGTATGCCAATTAGTGTTTTCTAATAATACAAATGATCTTAGGCCAAGCCCAGTTAAGCTTCTAAAACTTGAACAGGCTCAAAACATTTAGTCCTTTTAGAATAATAAAATCTTATCATTGATTTTGTGATTTATAATTAATTAACTTGATTTAATACTAATCTTTAAAATGAGGCCAACTCTGAACTGGTCAGTTCAATCCTAAACTGATAATTGACTCTCCTGACAGAGTAGGCCTAACAAGACTCCTTTGCTTCAAACATCCTCATTTCCTTTACTTACTTTTCTAAGACATGATGTTAGGTCCTCTCACTTACTCTCATCCCTTTCCTTAGATTTTTAAAGTCTTCTTTTTAAAGTTCCACACTCAG